TGGGGAAACCTAGTAATACAATTTGCACACTTAACTGAGCTGAGCATGCAAACATGTTCACATGCATGACACTCAGTTATGTATAAGTGAAAAAAATTGTGTTTATTGTTTTTTGTATTATATGTTCTGCAACTTAAAAATGACACTGCTGTACCAGGGGAATCACTTTATCCTTAATCACCAACATTGCAAACAACTTTGCCTCTAGAAATGAGATGTTTCTGTAGTGCTTGTATGTTTTATGCATTCATTCATTCATCCATTCAGTTCTTCTAGGTGTTGTAGCCCTCTGTTGGCCTGTCACAAAGACACACATTTATTGCTATGCACTCATAAAGACACATTTATACACATACAGTACTTTAAGTGTGCAGTTTGTGTTTGAGGTAGGTCAGTTGCTCCATGTCAACACTGCTGCCACCACACACAATCACCAGCAGGGAGCCCAGCTGAGTTGGCAGCCGACCTAGAAAAGTGTGGTGAAACAAAACTGATCATCTTCTCCAGACATTTGCCCTCATTAGAAGGGATTTACTATACATGCTAAGTTTCAGCATAAATACCATAGAGATGTCTGTCTTACCTCCAATATAATGGAACTAGGTGGCACTCGGCTTGTGGTGCTCAAAGCACCAAAAAAAAAAAAATACATTTGAAAAACTCAACAGCAATGTCTTTTTCCAGAAATCATGACCCAGTTACTCAAGATAATCCACTGACCTTGTTGTGAGCAGTTTCATGTAGGAACTATTTTCTTTCTACTGAATGACACCTACCAACCCTATCACCGTGCACAAGGGAGTGTGTAGTACCTGAGACTCTGGATTTTGTCCATGGATACGTTTTTCTTCTTTGATCTGATTGGTCAGAGGTCAGGGTGTTGACAGGTTGTGATCCGATACCCTGAAGTTAACCTGCCCTGTAGCGGGTTAGCTGTTCAGCATATGTTGCCATGGTGATTTATCCTAGTAAAAAGAGAACCAGCTTCGTAGTACTGAAAACCCTGAGAACCCCCAAGTTACCTCGCTAACTCCAAATCCTGCTTCCTAATACAGGCCTCTGGTCATGATTTCTGTAAAGAGACAATGATGCTGAGTTTTTCAAATGTATTTTTTGGCACCACAAGCCGAGTGCCATCTAGTTCCATTATATTAGAGAGAAGGCAGATATCTTCAACACACAACAACTCACACCAAAACAATCTAGGTTGATAAATAGCACTACAGGTAAGGGGAAGAATGTGTATTTTTTGACTTGGAGGTGAACTGTCCCATTAATTCCTCTCTTAAACACAGTCTCGCTGTTGTCAACAAACAGAGGAGTTGTAAATTGAGAGGGTTTAGTACACACACAACAGAAGCATTGTGGTTCATATCTTTGACTCCAGAGCTGTTACCTTCATCCTGTAATCTGTGTATGAGCCCGCTGTAGACAGCTGCGAGAGCTGCTCCGCATGCCATCTCCACCAGCACACGCTCCTCATCTGCAAGATCACGATCACACATACACACACTGAGTTAAAGTAAAACAAAGGCAAAGCCATTATGAAGCCAAGTTTATTATAGCAGCTTATGCTAGCAATTAAAACCAAACAGTGAGGGTGATTGTTGATATTCTCAGATGATAGTTGGACTGTTCACAGGTCATAACCAGTCAAAGGAAAGTTCCTAGGAATATTCCAATAAAATGCACATTTAAGGAAAAACACACACACACTCACCCAGGAATGTTTCCACAGCGTGCAGAGCCTGCTGGTCAGTCACAAGTTCAGAAATGATTGTAAGCTCGCTGCACTGGCTGTATTCAAAAGCTTTCTTACAGACTGTCTTTGCTCCGAGACATTTAGCCTCACTGTGGACAGACAGAGGGGGACGCAGTCAATTTGGTTTCATAAAAATAAAAAAAAAACTTAACCCCAGAAAACTTAAAAACTCCTTTAACTTCTAACCTGGTGATGTCATCCAGGGTGACCACCCTCCCTGCCTTAACCGCAGCGTTGAAACAATCTGCCCCCACTGTCTCCATTGCGACGATGGGTACATCTGTCCAGCCTATGTCCTTCAGGCCCTGGATGACGCCACAAAGGAGCCCCCCTCCACCCACGGCCACCAGCACAGCTCCAGGCTTCACACCGGGACCCAGAGAGGCTGCGACCTCTGAGATCATGGTGGCATGGCCCTGCCTGGGTGTGTGTGTGTGTGAGAGGAGGGAGTTTGAATGGAAGTTAATATCGCACAGTTTTGTAGTTCATCCACTGACATTACATTTCAGCAGGAAACTTTAAATGTGATGAGTGTTTCTACCAGAGCAGGGGGTGATCAAATGGAGGAACATAGGTGAGTCCTTCAGTTTCTGCCAGTCTTAGAGCCTCTGCATTGGCATCATCCCAAACCTATGGATAAAAGTTTACTACATTTTTTTTCTGTTTATGATCAGCCCATAGCTGATGTCAGTGCTACAAAGGGATCACCATATAATAAATATTACACTTTACCTTGCCTATCATCTTGACCGTAGCACCCTGATCCTGGAGTCTCTGAACGACCAGCTGAGGAGACGAGGAAGGAACTATGATGGTGGCTGGTACACCCATTTTTCTGGCTACATAGGCGGCAGCCATACCTGCATTACCACCTAAAAAAAGGCAATATTATATTACAGTCACAGTCACTCGTAGATATTGTATTTTGTAGATTACCATGCAGTGTCACAGCAGAATTGTCACCTGAAGAGCAGACAACTCCTTTGGACTGTCTGGCGAGCTGCAGGAGGGAGCGATGGCATGAAAAAGGGCAAGTTAGTTTCTTTTTTCTGACAGCTTTTCATATGCCTTTTTACTGAGATCGACACCAGTGTCTGTTATGATGGAGGTGAAGCAAAAGCAGAGGGTGGAGAGCTCCTACCTGCTGGCAGAGGTGTCCGATGCCACGGATCTTGAAGGAGCCAGAGGGCTGAGAGTTCTCCATCTTCAGGTACACAGTGGTTCCAACGCGTTTGGACATACTGACGCTCTCCAGCAGCGGTGTGTTCAGGTGGAAATGCTTCTCCATGGTGCACCTAATTTCACAAAAATGCCCAACACCGCGTTAAGTAGAAAGTTGGGTGTGATGACAATTAAGCAAACAGTGTGCACTGATGAGGACTGTGAAATGGGACTGAAAGCTCTAAAAAGCTACTAAGTGGACTTTAAGGTGGACACTTTATCTTTATGACAGATTTTTATTACAATAGGTGTCAATGTTCACACTGATGTTTGACATGGCCAGTGCTGCCTTTATCTTCAGCTGGAAATATTATAAGGGGTAGTAGTAGTAGCAGAAGGCTAAAAGTAGTGAGGATGTTCACATGAGCATAGTTAGGCAGTTCAGTCATAAAGGTATTTCTTCGAAAAGTCCACAACACTTGTAGCTCACAAATGTTCAAAAAGACATCTGAGAATAATCATTGGCTAACTGGGGCACTGTTTCTGGAAAGACACATTTTCACTCATTCCACCGGGGTACTGGCGGCAGACATGTCTCAGACAACCAAAACAATGTACATGGTAAGATTTATAAGCTATTTATCATATCAAAATGTAAGTTATTTTGCACCGAACATTTGTTTTTAATTTAACGTGTTCTTAAGGCGAAAGCGAACCTAGCAGGTTGAACTACAATGATTGAGTGACGCAGCGAATTCTTATGAATACAATGATATACAGTACATGACGTATAGTGAGTTACAACGTGAACCAATGTAATGACGTAACATTAGCTTGTACTGTACGTCATTAGGTGACAGCGTATTTTAAAGTATTAAATGCTGACTTACGTTTGGTTAAAACGTCGTGTTGAACGAGCCTCTGACCATTAAATGCTACGGTAGTTTATTCTATACAAACTGTATCATGTTTTCAGTGTATGCTACATTATGCTGTATATGGAGCTAGCACGTAGCAGACTAGCGTCACGGGACAAAAACCGACAGAAACACATGAAACAGCGTCAAACCAGAAAAATACTATCACTTCCGGTTGTTACTTCAAAATAAATGTGCGACTTGATACACTTCTGTAGTAGCAGTAGCAGTAGTAGTAGTACCATAGACTGTATAAAAATAAGTAGTAGTAGTAGTACTTGCTGCTACTACTACTACTGCTACTAGTAATAATAAGGTTTTTATTGAAATAAAATAATAATTCTTATTTATTTATGTAAAATTTCATTTGGAGTATTTGTGTCCTTTTTTGGGCCCATCCAATATGATACCATGTTTTTTAATAGTCATCTTAAGTTCATTGCACATACAACACAAAACACGTGGAAAAGTAAAAGAAACAAACTAATAACAATAACAATAATAATAGTAATATTAACAATAATAATAATTCAGTCTGCCTATTGTATGAAGTAAACTCAACAATATGCTTTTGCTATAATTGTGGACATGGTACTGTATGGGTTTTGTCTTACAGGTCACCAAATAGGCTACTATTATGTTTTCTTGCCTTATATTTAAATCAAAATTTTGTAAACATGCAGTATAATACAACAATGACTGTTTCAGAATGTAAAAACACATACGTATACCCTTGTTTCTGTTTCACCTTTGTAATGACCAAGGCTATTTACAGACCCACATTTTTTTATTGTCTGTTCTGTGCTATTATTGGAAAGAAAAATACATTTTCCCCGTATTCTTGTCGTGTGGTAACTTGACACGTTTGTATTTAAAGTTGTACCAGAATGCTGAAAATAGGGAAATAAACTGAACAAACTCAGTCACAAACACCAAGTGCACAGTGTAACAATATTGTGAATTTATAAATAAAAATAAACTCACGCGTGTAGAGCCTTCTGTCTCTGCAGACACCTGAGTGACCTGTGAACTTCAGTCCCCCTCTAAAGTCCACAGTTTATTACCAAGGCTTGAATGTGTGTGTGTGTGTGTGTGTGTGTGTGTGTGTGTGTGAGAAAGAGAGTGAGACTTGAATGAGTCAGTCACAGTCACAGCACTGATTCTCTGTAGGGATTATACTTTCTTTATTATTTTTGTACATTAGCTGTTTAGTTACAGTTTGCATATACACAAGGTAATGGTCTGCACTCCTCACACACCAATGTGCCATTCTCACACCAAACATCACAAAACTTATTGCCTCATATTTTACACAGCGGGGTCAAGGAAATGACGCTTTGTGTGAGGACATGTCTGTACACTGGGTGGCAGCAGTGAGTGGCGCCAACACTGACAGATTAGGAAACTGAAGCAGTGTGTCCAATAATAACAATAATAATAATATTAATAATATAGAAAAACAACTGTTTAAATAAAACAACAAATCAGGGGAATAATAGATTTCATACAACTACTGAAATATGTAAATATGAAAAAAAAAATATGAGAAAGTCAAGTTGTTTTTTCATTCACTGTCGGCTAATTCAGCCTCATTTTAAAGCAGTTAGCCCATGAAAAATGTATACAATTATAATTTTTACCTTTTAAACTTATAGTTTTTCCTTTAAATATGCCACTGAGCTTTTGGTAGATGGGAAACACTGCTTTATCATATAGTTAATGTTAGAGCCTGGTACCAGTGCTGCCCCAGTAAGAGGACCATTATGTGCCAGGTCCTAGTCTGGACCAGGTATTATGTGTCAATGGGTGAAGACTGGAAGAAGTTTTGTTCAAAATGAAAAAAATATTGTCACTTTAATTCCTCCTCCTTCCCATACTGTAGCTGCTTTGGTTTCACAAATTCATTTGTACTTCACAAAAACATTTTTCACATTCTTATTTTCCTTCTGTCCTCTTCTTTCCCTCCTCTCTCACCAGCAGCAACCAGTTTGCAGTTGAACAGATGTTGATATGACAGCATGCACCAGTGCTGAGACAACAGAAATACAGAATAGTAAAAGGTTGAGACATCCGTAATCACTCACAGATGCTTCTTTTTTCATTATGTGAAATCAGAGTGGAACTATTCTTCTGATATCACTTCAAATAGAAAAGCTTTTTTTTTCCTGCCATGCCATAATATTATATTGTCAACATCTGTTGCTCGTGTGGGTTGATGTGGACCTCGGCCACCATGCATCATAAGCTTGCTGGATTCTGTTTCTTGTGGTTGCGCTTCCAACTTTATTCCTGCTAACACAACTAATTGCTGCTTTATCAGTGACCTGATAAAGCTTCCTTTAACACACATTCAAAGTATCCGTTCCGTCCTCTCACCTTCCTCTCTCCAACTTCACATTTCACATCTCACACACACTCTCCCCTGATCTAGCCTGTAAATTTACTGCATTTAAATCTTCACACCACACAGTGTGAAAGTGTTTTCAGACAACATACTATGTTCATTGCTATGCGGTTAATGAGCTCGGCTTTATGAAGATCCATCTGGGTGTTTTGTTTTTTTATTAAAGGTCTCATATTATGCTAATTTTCAGGTTGGTACTTATATTTGGGGTTCTTTCTAGAACATGTTTACTTGCTTTAATGTTCAAAAAACACATTATTTTTCTCAAACTGTCCGCCTGAATATACCTGTACTCACCTTCTGTCTGAAATGTTCTGTTTTAGTGCCTGTCTCTCTAAGCCGCCCCCCCCCTCCCCCAAAAAAAGCCAAGTCTGCTCTGATTGGTCAGCATTTCTGGGTCTTCCATATCTGTGCTCACTGTGTCTCTGCACTATTACTGTAGCCAGGAAATGACTGTAACAACACTACAGCACCAGTTTCTACCTTTAAATAGTACAGTTGTGACATCACAACTTCATGGAAGTCTTGATGACTCGTTTAAAGGCACAGTTTCTGAATACAAACTGTGTGCATTTCTCTGTGGATTGAACGTTTTGATACTTTTCAAGGTATTTATTTATTACCTATGCTTGTTGTATAATAAAAAAGTCATGGAAATGTGACTTTTTATAACATGGACCTTTAACACCATACAAAAATAAAGTGTCATTCAAAGATCATTTGGATGAATGTCACATAGAGCCTCATAAATCCAAGCTCATGTTTTCATGTTCCGAGCTGAACGAACTCAAAGCTGCATCCAAATGACAGATATTTTCCTTTTTTTTCTATTCAGCTTCTCTCATGCGGCTGAACTGGTGAGAAATTGCCAAGCTACTGTTGCTCAAAATAAGATTCAGGCGATTTCCTCTAACTGCAGCAACTCAGTGAAAATATATTATGATTCTACCATAAAGTGGCTCTGTGGTTCCAGCATCACATCCAAACAAACAGGAAAAAAAAGTTGCTTCATCAGAGTTGTGAGCTCCAGCTATGTTTCCTTCTCTCTGCCTCCTGACTACCTCCATCCTTTGTTCTTTCTCTCTTGGCTAACACTTCCGCCCACATCCTCCTGCTGCTGCTGCTGCTCCACTTCTTCTCTGCATGCATGCGCCCTCTTCGAGCGTGCACGTGGCTCCTGATCTGGGCTTTACGCCAGCGAGCGTTGTCTGGGTTTGATCCTTGGATACAGCTGGAGAGAGTAGGAGAGAAGGAGAGAGAGACAGAGAGGGCAGGGTCATTACATCATGTTAACATTGTTCTCAAGGTGCCTGAACATCATGAAGGCAGACTGTAAGACACTGTGTGGGGATAAATCTGCCAACTTAAGAAGCTCCATCCTCTGCTCAATCACAGAGAAAGAAAGTTTGGTCTTAGTGTTAATTGAAACTTCTCATGTAGTCCCTACTGTTAATGTACAGATCCAACACTCAGTTATTATTTACACTGAATGTTTATGGCACAGCTGCAGCTGGAAGACTGGAGAGGGGACACTGTGATGGATGGTTTTATTAAAGCTACATAGTTCAGCTTTACTGCTACAATAATTGAGTTCTGAGCATTATGGAGTGTGTTCATGCTGTGCTCCCGAGGCGTACATGGCACTGAGCACAAACACAGAAGCCCTATCCAATAACGCATAACTCCATATCCCTGTGTTTTATGGCCAATAATATTATTCTTGTTGCTTCACTTGAATTAAATAGAATTATTTACCCTGCAAACATTCCTTTAAGAATTTAGGATTTGGGATATGTGGTGTTAGCTACTAGTTTCATAGCTATACCTCAAAAATAATAATCATCCAAAGACTGTCCAATCATTGATTAGTAACCGTAACTAGGCATGGTAAGTCTAGTAAGCTTTGGATATCTCCACAACTTTTATCTTGCTGAACTCCTGTCTCTTGTCCAACTTCTGTTGCCATCATTTGAGGAATACTTCACCCCCGCAATGATAATTTGTATATCAATTACTCACCCGTGTTTCGTTTAATTTGGGAAGCAAACTTAGTTTTTCTTGCATGCCTCCACAGTGAACCAAGAATCCAAAAACTGGGAAAATTCCTGATGAATTGAAGTCATAGGCGACCACGTTTAACGATAGCAAAACTGTATCAAAACATCTGTTCACAGTCCTTGCACAATAACTTTTACTATTTAAAACTTCTGCATTAACAGTGTAGCCTTGCTACCCATCTGTGCATGAGACTGTTTACGTGGAAGTGTTCGAAATAAGGTGTCGCCTGTTTCACGTCGCCTGTTTCACGTTGCCTGTTTCTTGGCTATAAAGTTGCACTTGAACACATCACAAAGACTACAGCCAACAGCCAACCAGCACGGACATTCTGCACCTGCATGAGAGGAAAAGAATCTCCACACCAGCAAGTGGCAGTAGTCTGTATACGTCATTAAAACAGAGAAAACCAGAAGACCAACAGGACAGATTCAAGATGCTTGTTAGCCATTTAGCACATGAACAATATAATGCTGAAAAAACAAATTATTTTTACCATGCGCCGGCGAACAACAACAACAACACACAGTTACAAACTGTTTCAGCTTAAGAGCTTAATGGCTTAAAGAATAATCTCATCTAATGTAACACATTTGCTTTGATCTCAAGCCCTCTTGACTTTAGCCCTTTGTTTACTTTCCTCATTTCCTTTTCTACTCTTGGCACTGAGCTAAACTGCCAATCAGAGTGGTTTCATTCACTTATGGATTCTGCTGTCTCCAATGCCAATTCAATATGTTGAATGGGCCAAAAAACAGCTGACTGGGGCCGACAAGGGCCAACAAGGGCCAACAAGGGCCAACTAGGGCCAACTGTGCAGGACACATCACAAAAAATTGGTGATAGACGCTCAAGGGAAGGATGACGTTATATAACAGCTGACTGTCAGCTTGGTGTGTCAGTGCTTGGTGAAAATGTATGTGTTTGGGAAGTACTGACTGTATGACTGGATTATTGGGATTTGGATTGTACTGCATGAGTTGTGTGAGAGTTTGTAAACTGATGTTTTGATCTAGTTTTGCTGTTGTTTTACGCAGCCCCACCTTACTCCAGTTCATCAAAACATTTTTCAGTTTTTGGATTTGCTCACCATAGAGGCATGCGAGAAAGATTTCTTTGCAAACTCATTGTAACACGAGGTGAGTAACTGACACACAAAAGGTCATTTGGAGGGTGAAGTATTCATTTAAAGTAGACAATGCTCCATGGGTACACACATTTATGTATAGGTGTCTGTAGTAATGTCTTTTATTCTCTCACCCCCAGCAGGTTTCTGGGTACGTATCCCTCGCGGTCATTTAGCCGTGCCCACCACCACTCTGTCTCTGTGTCATCACGACGACGCAGCACGGTGAGGGCATCACCCTCGCTGAAGGACAGCTCATCAGCCTGCTGGGCTGTGTAGTCCCAAAGAGCGTAGACCAAGCCTTTGTTCATCACACCCAACTTTTCTTGTACACCTGGGAGAGATACAAAGTATTATGTGTTAAAAAAATACTTCAGTAATGCTGCTGTCAGTGGAGAGTTAAATTGATGCAAAACAATTAAAATTTAAATGAAATGTTTCCCCTGTGTAAACCTGCTGAGTTAAGCTTTGATGACCATCTGTCGGTGTGTATCTACCTACCATAGAGGAACTGAGAACACTGTGTATAGCCCTCCTCCATTTCTTCACATTTGTCTGCCGCTGTTTCCACGTCACTAATCGTTGTGGCGAAAATTGCAGCCCCTGACTCCACCAGCATCTTACAGAGGTGGACGCTGTTACATGAAGCTGCGCAGTGCAGAGGGGTCCTGGAAAGGGACAACATAAAATCTGATTTTAAGCCAATGTACCGAAAGTACAAAAGATCTTCCAGTGATGCACTCGTATCAAAAATCTAAACACAATGACTATCATCATGAAGCATGCTGACATTAACTAAACATGAATTCAGTCAAATGCATCGGTAATTAAATCAAGTAACTTCTGAATGCGGATCCTCATTAGACTTGGTAATCTGTGCTTTCAATACTGCTCAGGCAGCCGAGTCCAAAATGAATTTAGAAATGCAATTATCTCTGTCACTGTTGACTCTGAGCTGAGCTCCAGTATCACTGCCACAGAGTGTGTTCATTACCCAAACACCCTCTGGCCCTTCAGCAGCCACTGTTCTATTATTAGTCTGGACTATTACATGATTGGATGACTGGTCGAAGGTACTGACCATCCGTCACTGTCGGCTGCGTTTACATTCACTCCAAAGTCCAGCAGGAACTTCACAATGTGGTGATGGCCGGCGCAGACAGCATTATGAAGAGGAGTTATGCCTTCATCATTAGGCATGCTGGGGTTTTCCACCTTAAAGACAGAGATGATGAGATAATGTACAAAGAGATATTAGACTGATAGAATGATTGGCTGTCCACAGAGATAATGGAAGAATCACACCTGTATTGGTATCATCCTTCAATCCTGGAACCCATCGGTTATCGTTTGACGATAAGCCTCGGGGGGCAACGGCCAATATTTTAGGAGATCCGGTGTTGCCAAGGGCCAAGACTTCCTCTTCAATGCAACGGCCATTGTTTACAGTTCAATTTAGAACTTTAGACAGGTTCAGACAAGATTTTGGCTAATCTCTATTGTCTGCAGATAAATTGATAAAGAGTTAAATTGTTGTCAAACAGTAGCCAGTGGGTTCCAAGATGGCATTTTGGCCAATGTGTTCCACCTCTTTAAGGCCCAGACACAACAACCTGACACTCAATGGCTAAAAACATAATCTCACCAAATAAAACCAGGTTGTTACCATCTCGCGCCCTCTTGACTTTAGCCATTTTTACCTTTCCTTCTTTTCTTCTTGCAGACTCATACATGCTGAATTGGCCAGAAAACAGCCAGCAAGGGCCTACTAGTGCCTACAGTGCAAGATACACCAAGAAAACTAGCGTGACAGATGCTCACCAATGGGCCAACATTGACAAACAGCCGACGGTCGGCTTGGTGTGTTGGGACCTTGACTCTCTACTGACAAGCAACCAAAGCCCACTCAAACATTATTGGGCTATACCAGTTGGGCTAAATTGTTCAGACAGATACCAGAACCCTTCTGATAACAAAATTTTGTGCTGCTGCCTACAGATTCAGCATCCATATGTGGATATCTGTTTCAAGGATAAGCCTTGACTCAACCCTGTACTGAAACCCCGGCGGAGAGCACTATAGAAGTGCCAAGTACCTGAATTCATTGCAAAACTAGGGATAGTGCAACGTTTTGTGAACAGCTTGGAAGTTGTTGAGTTGTTGCGAATTCCCGCCTCGGGGTATGACAACGTCAAACTGAGCTTGTTCTGGATGTGAAGCATCTGCATGTTTCCTTGAGAGTATCAGCTAGAGTTTGCAGTTTGGAGAGGCAGTAAGCACTTTTGTCCGGTCTCCAAGTGAGAGATGTCAGGGATAGACGAGGGTTTGCCTTTAAAGATGTAAGGCTTTGTTCTCAGGAGCTCTGTGCTGCTGAAAAAAACCCTGTGATACAGAGTGAGTGTGTCCTCAACATTAACTTTCCACACCTGACAACTGAGACCACCTCTCCCCTGACAGAGCTGCTGAGGATCAAAGCTATTACAACAAGTGTTGTCAGGAAGGTATTTAAAAGCTTTCAAATCTTCCAGTTATTAGCAGATCTGTTGAGGCAATCTGTGTGTGGGTGTACAGTAATTGTTGGCGTGTACAAATATTCTTCTGTTGCATAAGAAAATGTGTTTTTTTCTTTCAACACAAAAATGTATCAAAAGAACAAAACTTAAGAAGTATAACCAAGTTGAAAGTATTAGAACCAAACTGTGTCTGATGATACTCAGCTTTACTCGAGAGGCAGCACAAAATTTGAAGATTATCTACTGAGATTACACTTACTTATTCTAGAGACATTCTGTGGCTTTAGATCAATCTCTCGTAGTTGAACAACTGCTGCATTATCTTTTTTACACTATTCAGTCAAGCTTTAGACCGCACCACAACACTGAAAATGCCCAAACCAAAGCAGCGCTAAGAACAGCAGCTGAATCAAGTTGCAACCTTGATTTTATTTTCTCCAACCTGTAATATGTATGTATGTATTAATGTATTAAGCTCTTTTCCCAGTGGACCAAAAACCCACTAACACCCACAACCATCTGGCTTTTGTGTTTAGTGGGAAAGAATACAATGTGAATTCATTTCTGGGACAAATGACTGCACTAGTCACAAGCATTTAGCTGACTTCAGCTCTGATCGGCAGCAACTGAAATATGACAGTCAGGTGGACATGCATTGTTTTTACCCCTTTTCTGGCATGACTGTTAGTAACTTTAATGAATCTTCTCAGCCACAAATTTCATCCATCTCTGTCCAAGCAGCGCTCAAACATCTTTACAAAAAAGTCAACGAATAAGTAACAGATATAAAAAAGATGTAGCTTCCTAGTGATGAAGCTTCCTAGTGTTTACCAACCTGTTTTCCAGTGTGCTGGTGAAGTCAAACGTGACACACCAGAAAAAATAGAAAGGCATACTTGTCTATTGGCAGTAGAAAAGCAGCCTGTAGACTATTTTTAGCTTGTTTTACCACATTAAAAAACACATATACCAGGGGTAGGCAACCTGCACCTCCAGAGCCGCATGCAGCTTTGACATCTGTCATTGTTGTAGGCCTAAAGTGATTACTGCATTCTAAACTTGTAAAAATGTATAGCCTACACATCGAATTAAAAATGTTTAACGTTTCATCAACTTAAATCTGCGTCATACTTCTACATTCTGGTGCCGTTTCCTCTAAATTTTGCAGTAGTGGTGGCTAGCCTGGAGCCTCTCTAGCACAGGCTAGCTATGGATTGCAAATCCAAGAAAAGTAAAAGTCTTGGAACATAGAAGGGTAGCCACCTTGTAGTAAATCATATAAATGAATGCTCATTTAGACCTATTCGTAATGTTGATAGGCTTATTTAGACTTAATAATCTTTTACCTTTGCTCAAATATGTTTTGCGGCTCCAGACAGACTTTCTTTTTTCTTTTTTTGGCCAGTAATGTCTCTTTTAATAATAAAGGTTGCTGACCCCTGGAATATACCCATTAATTTTGGTGAAAAGGATATTAGTCTTTCCACACAGTAAGGTATGGTGTCCCTCAAGGCTCAGTACTCGGCCCAGTACCTCTCGCTATTTATATTCAACTTTCGCATAACTTTTCACTTCTGTGCAGAAAAAAATCTGTTCTATGTTGCAATTAAACCTAATAATCCAGTAATGATCAGTGGTCCCAGGATTCCGTGATGTTCCTCTTTGTGGTTGTTTGAAAGAGCTGGTCCTTCATCATCTTCAGGCTACCCCATTACCCACCTGTCTAGCTGCCAACCCTGATGCCCACAATGCTACCCATCCTCCGAGCTGTCCCATCTTATGATGATCTTAATCCTCCTGTCTCCTACACTGCCTAGCTTGCCCTTTGGACCTAAGTTGACGTGAAAAACTGCTACTGGTTGAATCTTTTTGGATTTTACTTGTGGTAAATTGGGACTTTATGACATTTGTGTTAAATGCAGATGTCTCCGAAGGGGGTCTCTCTTTGAATTGCCTCCTCAAGGGTGCCCAATAGGATTTTAAGAGAGTGGCTTCCTTATTTTCTTGCAAAGCATAAGATGGCTTGTAAAATACTCACTGTAATGTTGAGCTGAACAAATAAACTCAGACAGTTCATAAGCAGTGCAAATTTGAAAAAAGACGTACTGTATTACGTAAACGTATTGTAATACCAATACTGCAACAACTACATAATCTTTTGTTACCTCATATATAATCCTCTGCACCAGATCAAACTCTCCTTCTAACGATGCGTCCAGCAGCAGAGCTAGAGGGTTAAACTTCACTCTCAGACCGTGACCTGTTCGCTCTGATGACGGCTTCTTCAGGTTGGTTCGCTTCACCTGCAGCACAAAGGGAGACAAACGGAAAAGTGTTGACAGTGCAGAATAGGAATTGTAAATAAGTACTTAGTGCTTAATCTGGTGCGTTAGCTTTCACAGAGAACAACCATTTTGTTTAGGTTATTAGCGGCATATTACAAAGGCAAACACAAAAAAAAACAGAATATTTGCTCAGAAAGCAAAAATCCATGGCACATAGGTATTTTAAAGCAGTTCTAGTTTTAATGTTTGTACCCCATATCTGGTATGAATACAATCTATGCCTACCTTAGGCTTTGAAGGTGGGGCAGGAGGTGATGGGGAGGGGGAAGCATGGCCTACAGAGTTGTGTGCAGGACTTGATCCTTTCTGGTTGTTGTTGTTCTGGTCCTCTGGCCTATCAGGTGCAGGGGATGGGCTGGTTTGGGTTGGTGGAGACGCATTACTGGTAGTTTCTGCTTTTGCTGTTGTGTCTTTGGGTGTTTCTATGGCAACAGAAGGAGGGGACAAGCGGCGGGAGCCTGAGTTCATGTTTTGAACTTCGCCCTCTGTGGTCGCCATACTGACGTGCTTGTCTCCAGGTTCTACATTCCCATTTGCTGAATGAATGTTGTCCATTTCACCCAAAAGGCAGTCAGGCTGGTAGAACGTGTTGCCTGGAATATAGAGGGAAAGAGCCGATTTAAACGTCATCAACCCAAATCAGTACAACACAGACATACAACTGATGCCACCTAAACTGTCCTGAGGTAAGGCTGAGGTAGTCGAATCCAGTCTCAGTCTTGAGTCCAGTCTTGAAAGCACTTTTTTAAAGTCTTGCACTCAGCTGTTTTCCTGCCTTGTTGGACTCGTAATTGTCTTGATCTCAGACTTGGCTATTGAGAACTGGTCATGTTGTTCCTGGCTGCTGATTCAATATCAGTTGTACAGAGCGTTCCCTACCAACAGGTAGCATGAAAAAAAAAAAAATACACCCTCATCCTCTGTATCTTCCTGTCTGGCATTGATTCAGTTTTGCAAGTAACACTGGCCCTGAGCTCAGCACTTGCTGCCACAGTTCGCTAGCAGTAACATCACCTCTAGCAAGTCACAAGCTAGCTACCTCAGCTAATGTTCAATGGAAAATGTCTGTTCCATCATAATTAAATTTGGATTTTTGAATGGGACTCAATTTGCTCTGGACTTGATCTTGACCAAGACTGGACTGGACCCTGTTTTGGATTTGACTTAAACTTGACTGGTGGGCTGTGAGGGTCCAAAGGACAGAGGGGTGTCATATGCTGTAAAGCCCTCTGAGGCAAATTGTTATTTGTGATATTGGGCTTTATAAATAAAATTGATTGATTGATTGACTGGGTCGGTCTGGACTACAGCCCTGAGCAGGGCCATACATCATATCACAGTGTCTTACCTGAACCTCCTTCCATGCCTCCCGCCAATGTGTTGAACCTGCACACCACCACAGAAAACAGTTTTAATCAAGCTGCAATCATTTAGTTTCTGTTGCAAATTCTTTTTCATAAAATGTATTTGTGTTTATGAGCACAGTATACAGTAGCACACACCTCTGGTACAGTAGTTTTTGGATGTTTGGCCCCTGTGGGCCTTCAGGTTCGGTTATGGAGCTCCGTTTCTTCAGAGGTCGAGGAGCATTGCTGAGACGCCGGCGGAGAACCTCCAGGTCAGCATCACTCTGGTAACGTAGCTGGGAGTGGGCTGTGGAGAGCAGAGGTGGAAAAGCAAAATATGTCAGACCGGGATCCTGTTATGTTTACAAATACGCACCCTTCTGTTTGTTTATCAGAATTTTTTGTTATGAATTGCCTCTGCTCCCCAGATTTCAAACCAACACTTATTTGCCACAGATTTTTTTTAATAATTAAGTACAAAAAAATCTATTTTCTAAGGAAATAATCACAAGGGAAATGAGCCCTATACCTGATAAGTAGAATAAGTAGAACAGTGTCATGTTACAGCAGGTATAGTGTCACAGAGGGTTTTGAAACTTATTAGAAATTTGTCGCAGATTTATACTCAATTCACACTGCAATAATCCACAATATAACATGCAAGCAGAAGTATGACAGCACAGGGATGAGATTTATTCGTTCTCTGATACCTACCAACTGGGGTAAGCTTAGTGGGACTGAGGGGACGAGGGATGTTGTCCACAGTGGGTGGAGGGAGGATTTGCCCATCACTGCTCTCGCCTCCTCCTTTCCCTCCTTCTTTATCTGTAACATCCTCTCCTCCTGCTTTTACTCCTCCTCCTCCTCCTTGGAGAAAAGGGACAGGAGATGGAGAGGTGGAGGAGGTGGGGAGGATGGGTTTACCATAGACTATGGAGAGAAAGGAAAAGGGACAGATAGTGCTTAGATGGTGTATCAACATTAAACACACACTTTATATATGGCAGGATCTGTAAAAAAAAAAAAAAAAAGCTGCTGTTTAATTACCTGCTTTAACAGTAGTCCTGTTGCTGAGAGAGCCATAGTTTTTGGCCTGAGGCTGCTGGAGGTACATGCTGTAGATGGAGCTGCTGTTCATGGTGGCGGGGCCCTTCCTGGGGGACTGGGGCCTGGAGGGGTGGTCTGGAACGTAGGGACGCACGGCCACAGCTGGAGGTGGATCTGTTCGCTCCGTTTGTGGGGACAAGGGAGAAGGCTGGGAGTTGGAGCCTGACAGCAGAGACAGAGTACAGAAAATATTGAATTAATGCATCATTTCTAAATCCTGCACCCACATCTCCATGACAGACAGATTTTATTTGCAGAATTCATCATTCAGTTTCCCTACAATAGAGAGGATTGTTGTATTTTGTTGAAAATGACTGCTTACATAAAATATTTTTAAAAATGTTTATAAAAAGAACAGTCCTAAAAGTATGGATGGCCAATTCTGCCAGTGTGATTAAAAAAAAAAACATCCTGCAAGTTATTAAAATGACAAACTTTCTTGAAAAAATGACTAAATTAATTTCATCTCAAAATAATAAACTTAGAAAAAACAATGAATTATATCTTAAAATAATGAGAAACACTAAGTCATTATTATGAAAAGTTCTATTGTTTAAACCATAATGTAATTATTCTGAGATACTAACCCCTTATTTTGAGATATTAAGTCATTATTTTTAAAAAAGCTTCTTATTATTTTGAGACACTAAGTCATTATTTAGAGATATTAAGTCATTATTTTGAAATACTTAGTCATTATTTTGATACTACATCTTTATTTTGAAATACTGAGACATTATTATGACAGTTTCTCATTATCTTTATATATTAAGTCATTATTTTGATAGTTTCTTATTATTTTGAAATATTTAGTCATTACTTTGAGAAAGTTTCACATTATTTAGAGATAATTGTTATTTTGATAAAGTAAGTCAGTATTTTGAGATACTGATAATGAAATAAATTTTACTCTATTCTGAGATACCAAGTCATTGTTTTGATAAAGTTCCTTATTAGTTTGAAATACTACGTCAATATTTCAAGATACTGTCATTATTTTGAAATACTAAGTCATTATTTTGAAAAACTGACTCATTATTTTGAGATTAAGTCATTATTTCGTGAAAGTTTTTCATTATTTTGAAAAACTTACTCATTACTTAAAAAAATAGGTCATTTTGATTAAGTTTCTTATTATTTTGAAATACTGAGTCATTACTTTGAGATACTAAGTCATTATTTTGATAGTTTCTCGTTATTTAGAGATACGAAATTGCTATTTTGAAATACTACGTCAGTATTTTGAGATACTAAGTCAGTTTGAGACAATTTCTCTCTGTTTTGAGATACTAAGTCATTATTTTGAGAAAGTCTTATGATTTTGAATCACTAAGCACTTTACCCAGTCATTTTGAGATATGAAGACATTATTTGAAATACCAAGTCAGTCTATTGAGAAACTAACTCAATATTTTGAAAAGCACCACATTACTTTGAGATATTATCTCAAAAAAGATTCTTATGACAATGACTTATAGGATTCTTGTTTTTAATCGCTGACAGAAAATGGGCTTCCACATTACAGAATAAGCTCAGTATGGTGTTAAGTTACCCTTTAAATCACCTTGGCTTGAATTTGGAGGAACAGAGATCCGTTGCTGTATTTGTTGTGAAGAGGAAGATGATGAAGAGGAGCATGAGGTGGCATTTGCAGCACTGGATCGGGGCCAGCCCAGTGTACCAGGGGCAGAGCGGGGCAGGGAGCTGGTGGCAGAGTGATGCCCTGCCGCCTGGTGGGTGGCACTGGGGTAAGTACCATAACCAGAGGGAAGCTGGTGGGAGGGAGAGACGTGGAAATGTGGAGCGAGAGAGAATTTGAAAAAGATTGCTCTACAGTCTGACTGCATAACCTACTTTCCCTGTGAGCACCTGCATTGCTATTTTGGAAAGAGATATTTCTTGAGTTGAAAAGTTCACACAGTCATCTACTGCACTGGTCTTCAAAGTGGGAGCTAGGGCGCCTTTAAATGGCCTCAAGAAGGCTCTTAGCAAACTAAGGAATATTTAAATGTCTCTATAATATCATTTAGTGGAAATAATAATAATAATAATTAAAATTACTATTTCATGATAACTTTAACTGTTATCTCCTCATGTCTGGAGTAGAAGTAGTGCAGTACCTGTTCTGGACTGTTGGTCCTCCAATCTGACACACTCTTACTGATGCTAGGCCATGACGCTTCATTAGCTAAACAGAGAGAGAAAGTGTTGAGAAGGGGACAAAGGTTAAAACGAGGTGGAGAGGAAGAGGTAAACACAGACACAAACAGACAGGAGAATGACAGAGTACCATGTGCTGTACGTATGGGCAGATTATGAGACAGTGGGCCCCTGGACACAGACATGTAAAAGAAAAAATTTTGTGTCTTTTTCGGTCATCTTGTGTCTATTTTGATTGTTTTATGTCTCTTTGCAGGTCCTTTGCATCTCTTTTATTTGTCTTTTTGTGACTTTTTTTGGTCGGTACGTATTCATTTGAGTGCCTCTGACACTTTGGGCCCCTGGACCTGTACTCAGTTGGCCAGTTCAGTAATCTATCCATCACTGTACATCAAAGAAGGTTAAAGGTGTAGAAGGCACATTGATATGAAGGTAAGTTGTGTTGAGAAGTAGGACTGGACCTGGATGCTAAATAGTCACCTAAATATATTACACTAGCTGCTATATACAGTTTGTCACTCTGGTGGCATAATACCAATATACAAGACAAAACAACTGCTTAAAATGTAAACATATTATTATCCACACATATAGTTTACTCCAAGAACATAAAACATGACAAACTTCACGCTCCATAATCTAGTACCACATCAAAACTGCAATATTGCAATTGTAATTGCAATGCAATAACTGAAACAGGCTCCAAGTCATTGAGTTATTTTTAAGTCTGGCTTCCACTTGTTTCACCTCAACATAGCATATTGTAATGCAACAAGAAAAGTGCTACATAGCTTAACAACTACTCTACATGTTTAAATTGGTGAGTGCGGTGTATCCTCCACTGCAAACATGTGTTTAGCATCTTGTAAGTAGTATAGCAATGGGACTAAAGTATCTCTGATCATGAGCTTGGCTGCAAAATTTATGGGTAGTGTTGCTGTCATGGCAACGTCTGCATCTGATAATAAAAAAGACAAACAATCATTCACAGTAACTGGCAGTTGCAGTCATAAAATTTACTTTTGGTTGCTGCTCTGCTATTTTTACCAGAAGAGTTGTTGGTTAACGTGGGGACAAACTCAGAAACACAGTGAGTGCATTCCAAAACCTCAAATAACAGGAAGATGCTGCCTTGGCTCACTGTGCTAAAATACTAAGCTCTGAAACCTGCTGGCTATGTAAAGCAGCAGTTTAACCCAGCCTCTGTCTCCACACAGGTGGTGTTACATAACTTACTGGTACACTAAGGTCACTGTACTGGTCAGTTACTAAATCTTGTTCCACTGTTGCCTATTAACCAATGGCAATCCTGGAGGTCAGCGGCCACGTTAATGCTTAACAGTTTAACCACAGTAAACTTACATATAAACTAAAAATGGAAGGAAATAGCCTTGTGAATCTGAGCTTGTGCTTTAAAACTGATACCATTACTATTCTGGAGTTTATTGCAGCTTACAGGCTTAATATGACTGTGTGCTGAGCATCCTGAAAAAATATTTAACAAGACTAAGAGTCCACAGCCATGCTGGCAGTTCTGTCAGGCTGTATTCATAGCGGTGCTTTGAGCTACATGCTAATGTGCTCCACTGACAATGTTAAAAAGGTGATGTTTAGCAGGTACTATTTGACATATTTAACATAAGTTCAGCATGTTTGTATGCTAATATTTTTAAACTGATATTCGTTTTGGAGGTATTTGTTCATAAACAAAGTAATGGACAAATTAGAATTTTGACCTGATGATGGTGTTAGAAAAGCCATCTCCAAAGTGAATACAAACACAAGCTAAAAAAACATCACCTTATAAGACCTTAGGTTCCCAGGGTCCTTCATCTGTTGACATTAACTAAAATTGTAAGAGATTGGTAAGGGCTAGCTTCAAAGTTCAAATTGCAAAAGAACAAAGGGACACAGATGTTTAAAATGTAGTCTGAATGGTAAAAATCTGTTCAGTCATTGTCCGCAAATGTATAGCTTTTGGCCTAAAGTAGGCTATAAGCGGTAGGTGGTTGATATCAACATACTAACCCAGGGAAATATACATTGAAATGTAAAGGTCCAGTGTGCAGGGTTAAGTGGCATCTAGTGGTGAGGTTGTAAATTGCAACCAAATGAAACTTATCTACCACGTGGGAAAACTACGGGGGCCGACGTGAAAATGCGAAAATGTGAATGGACCAATCTAGCACCAGTGTTTGATTTCTCCATTCTGGGCTACTGTAGGGACATGGAGGACTCCGTGGAAGAGGGCCCACTCTGTATATAGAAATAAACAGCTTATTCTGAGGAAATGAAAACTCAGTGATTCTTAGTTTCAGGTGATTATACACGAAGGAAAACATAGTTGTGAAAATTGTATACTATTTCAGCCAATATATCCCCCTAAATCCTACAAAATAGGACCTTTAACCTTGGGAAAAACATTGCTGACAACATAAAACTCTTTGAAAGGTCTCCTAAATGAGTCTTATTAAGAGATATTGAGCTGGGGAACACAGGCTCCCACATTAGGGCTTCAATAGAGAATAAAGCTTGATTAGCTGAGTTCTCTCCATTATATGGTGGCTGTGTGCATCTGAAGTCATTAGAGTGGTATACAAAGTTAAATTAAATTAACTTATGTGCACAACATAAAAAAAATAATAATAATAATAATCACCTTTTGGGACATTAGGGGCTCCATATAAACCGACCAACTGCCAGACTGACCGACATTCCCATTCTTAGAGCAATGCGTCCAGCTTGGCTAAAAATAATCTAAAAAGTCTATTGTGGGACATTAAAATTCCACTGCTTGTCACAATTGGCTATAATTCAGCATCCATTGTCAGAGTATCATTTTAAGCTGTTACCTAACCACTTGGCTTATCTTTCGGTGGTCCAGCCACATCACAGTTTTGGCACGTACCACACTAATACTGATTAACTAGTGAGCCTGGGAGTCCTGCAGTAGGTAAGCTGTGTTGTACAACCTGTTGACTGCTGCTGTAACCTGCTGACCTCAGGAAGAAAACGGTCCCGACAGGAAACAGTCAGCTCTGTGCGAGCTGGAAACTTGGCCATGTGCCTGAGAGCCCAGATTAGAAGCAGCCACTCAATTTTGTAGAGGAAAGGCAGTACAGTTTACAGGACTGGCACCATCACAGTACACCCGATGCTAAAGACAAGCGGGGTGGCTCAGGGTCGGTTTAAGGGTTTTAAGAAGCCTATCAAACTCGCTACTCAAGTCTCTTCTTTAGGTGACATCTAATGTTTTAAATGTCAGTCTCTGTCTTCTTGAACTGATGTTGATTGATGATCACTGGTGGCAACATTCAGTGTATTTCAGAGCATCTGAAATATCATTTAGTTCAAAGAACACAAGCTCAACAGTGAAACACTATAAAAAGAAGCTACATATGTATGTAGCTAGCCACCAATGTCTTTCAGGGTTGATATTTAGTTGACTTTAGGCTGTGATGTTGGTTGACTAAATTCAATGACAGGACATCTGTTGCCAACGTCAATTGATGCAGAATACTGACGACAGATGACATTGATATTTTGTTGGTTTTAAGTCTTTGAAACGTCTCATGCCAACGGCATCTTGACATAGAATAATGACATTGGTCATAAGGTAAGGCAAACAAAATGTCTTACTGTTGACGTCCACACTGTGAAACTCTAGCATCTTCAGACATTTAAAATATCCATTTAAAATATCGTCAACCCGATTTTCATTCCAACCAAAATTTAATGTCTGTCTGAAGTAAGTATCCACCTTATCTTTCTAATGTCATTTTGACAGATTGATACCACTCTCAAAATATAAAGCTACTATCTGCAGATGCTCAGCTTAGTTTAGCAGATAGACTGGAAGACTGGAATACTCCAGGAAGTTGCAGAACACAACCAAGATATAATCTCTCCCACAAAGCCCATGAAATGGCAAGGTGTTATTTTTATATAGAGGTATGTATGCTGAGCTAAGCTAATTTGGGAGCTTGACAATAAACATACATACATGAGAGTGGAATCTGTCTTTCATCTAACTTTTGGCAGGAAAGCAATGAAGCGTATTTCCCAAAATGTCAAACGGTTCCTCCAAGATAAATGAATAGGTTATTTAAAGATTAATCAGTACTACATCTGAAGGTCCAGTGTGTATATTTTAGGGAGATTTAGTAGCATGAAGTAGGGAGGACTGCAGATTGCAACCAGCTTAAATTTATCCATGTTACAATTCCCTCAGTGTTGACTGTTCAGGAGGTTTTCATGGGGAGCCGATTTATCCATAAAGGTCTCTTCTTCTCCAAAACAAACTGCCCCAGTGTTTTAAACCAGCAAAATGCATTTCAGGTGACAAATAAGTGTTTCTATGACGCTGTTTGGCATATCAAAGATAGCTCGCTAGCCCAGCATCTGCTAGTGTGTGCTCACCTTTTTCTCTGTTAACTTAATATCCAGACTTTGGAAAGTTTTTATCGGGAGTCGAGTTATCCGCAAATGTCTCCCTCTCTCCAAAACAAACAAACAAAACCATTTTTTTAACCAGTAAAAGCACTGAATAAAACAGTTTAATGTTAAAAAATCAGTGTTTTTCCAAAGCTCTTATTGTGGAGCGGCTGCTAAGTATGGTGGCCGAAACAAAAACGTTTAAATCCCTATCTAGAGCCAGTGTTTTGTTTGTCTGGCTACTGTAGAAACATGGCAATGCAACATAGCGATCTCCACAGACAAGGACCCACTCCCTATGTAGATATAAACGGCTCATTCTAAGATAAAAACACAACAATTCTTATTTTCCGGTGATTACACACTCAAGAAAACATATATTTTATATTATATTCCCTTTCTGTCAATATATCCCCCCTAAATCCTACACACTGGACCTTTAATACTGAAATCTAGCAAACTGCACCAATCATATCACAGGCAGAGGACACTGACTGGACCAGATGTGTTTGTTAATAAAAATACAAGTCAGTTTTTTCTCTAAAACAGAAGCACCAACATTTTCGAAGCCTTTCCTGTTGATCATTAACGAAGCCTCCTCGTAGGAAATTAAAAAGAGTTTTTGTTTCAGAAAAGGCCCTGGCTGTTACAACTTTCAAGCAAATATTAGTTTAAGTCATTAGAATATGAAACCATCTCAGGATTTTCAATGAATAAATAAACGATTCATGTGTATTGTAATGCTAATGGGAATGCATGGAATTATGATCTGACTTTAGACTGCTATGCTTATATTATATTAGCATTCATACAGTATAATAGATATTCAGCACTCACATTTGTTAGAGAGCCTTAATCTATCCGATGACAGTAACAACAGCTGCTGTGACTCCCCCCCTAACCCTCCTTACCTAAAATCTCTGGTTATCTGACTCACACACACACAGACTGAGTACACAGACTGTGTATAGCTACAAGTGTACCTCAGACTTCCTGTCATTCATTTGTTGTGTCATTTGTTCTACTGTTGACATGATTTACAACTGTGTGTTTTCCACATTACAGAAGCTGGGACAATAAATAGAGCTGTGGCATTTGCTTTGGCATTCAGGAGCACAATGGGATCTGTATCAGTGCTAGTTCAAGACTCTTTACTTATACCCAGTAGTTAAAGTAAGTGAGTAAAAATGCTTTGCCTTTCCAGCCTGGGTGTACTGATATATGACTATATAGGCAGGACAAGTGTCAGAGTGGCCCGCTGAATGAGAGTGGCCTGATACAACATGCTCAGTAGTTAATGAGGCAAGGTAAAGTTATGTTGACAAAGCTGATTCTAGCTATGTGGACAGGTGTTGACATTAATAAGTTAAGCTAGTGTGATTATTAACTAGACTCAAAAACATGCTATGTTAAAGGAACCTTTTCACATTTTGCTTTCTTGCAGAGAGTAGATGAGAAAACTCATACCAACCTGGTGTCTGAAGGGTAAATCAGGCTATTGAATGGCCATTATCAGTGGTTATAAGTATTATAGATATGAGTTAGAAGGGGCCTGCCACACCTGCTAATAGGTTCCGAAGGCCATTATCAGGCCATAAAAGGGCCATTTACATTTATTGATAGGGTGCAACCTCTTCTGACTGTATAATTATGACAGGAGCAAGGGAGGAAGTCAAGTGACGTTGTATAAAGAGCAAGAAAGTTGGCGACGGTCAAGCGAAAGGGAAGGGAAGTGAATGGGTCAAACAAACACAGGATTTTCACCCAGGAGAGCAGGTGTCGTATTCCCCGTGAAACCAAAAGTCATCGCAGACTTATTTTGACCAGAGAAGGACAGTTGTTTTAAATGACATACCCTGATATGTTTTCCTAAACCTAATCATATAGTTTCTGCACCTACACATAACACAAGTGAGTGTGAAAACTAACAAAATGGCTTCCAGGGCTAAAGTTCCTAAAATGGCTACTTGAGGCTGGCTCCAGAACATAAGTCAATCCCCATGGACACCAATGTTAAAACGCCCAACTTTACAGCAGAAATAAAGATACAGCCTGTTGCAATAAAAGGTTTTGGTCTCTGTTACTCTAATCCCCCTTCCTTGACAACTGTATGGGGGGTGAGTTTTAATATAACTCAGCCATTAACATTTTATCAAGGCATGAAGTTATGCATAATTAAGGGTGGGTCCGCTTTGCGTGACAGGCTGTCACTCAAGGTGAGGCATCACCACAGTCTATAAGCTAGATCTGTCCCTTGCTCCTCCACAGCTCCACCCTCTCATCCATATATGGTCAATTCTGGCTCCAAATAACCAAGATGGCGATAGGTGAAATGCCAAATGCAAGGCTTCAAAATAGGAGTCCACAAACCACTAGGTGATGTAACAACCTTTGAACCTAATAGTATGGCAGGCCCCTTTTAACCCATGTCTATGAAATAACAGCCATTTAATGGGCTGATAACATCCGAAGTTAGTTACATAAATATGACGCTTTGGTCAAGTGACAGAGGCTTAGCATAAAGACTGGGGGAAACAGATACAATTCTCACATCAGGTAAGAGGACATGGAGGTCTAATTGAATGTGGGTCTCAGTCCAGACTGTGATTTGTCCTCAGTTTATTTTCTTATGCTGCGTTTCCCAACCCGGAGCAGCTGCTGGCTATCAGATGTCATGTCTGTGCCCTCATACACATGGCCCGAACATTTTGAGGTCATTTTCTGTAGCTGATTCAATTATGTTCTCCTAACCATCTGTTCTGTATAGTTAGACAAAATCACTTCACAGCATTCTTGGTGTGACTGCGCCTTTCCATTCTTCAACCAAAGACTCAATCTGAGGCCACAGCTACACTAACACATAAGCATTTTAGCACGTTCTCAGAATTTATCTAGGTCCATACTAACACTGGGCATGCACATGCCAACGTAAACAGGTGGCAGATTGTTTACTCTGCCATTGGTTGCTCAGTTACAGAAAATGCGATGGTGAAAAAAGTGATGGTGAAAAGTAAAACAAGAGATTTCTTTGCTTGGACAGATGACGAGGTGGAATTGTTACTAAAAGTAACACAAGTATGGCGGTCAAGGTGGCGCAAACAGATTGGAAGTTGTTACAAAGCAAATATGGTCTGGCCAGGAGCATCATCCATCGCCAGAGGTAGCCATGGCAATGGGAAAGGATGAAATCACATAAGGAAAGTAGACCTAGCTATTATGTCTTGGCTTGACAAGCTGTGACTGATAAGACCTGATAGGGAAGCAAACGTGGGTATCTACGTGGGTATCAGGGTCAGCATTGTTTTTTAAGGCGTCCATTTAAAGGGTCCCAAAATGCAGGGGTAATGTGGATGCTAGGTATAAATATAGCAATAGTTAAGCATTTAAACATGAAAACATATTAGTGTGGATGTAGCCCAAGATAATGTCTACTTTGGGATTAAGGCTCAACACTTGTGTTGAAATCATGCAGGAAATACTTCCAACAGACCCACTACACCTTCAGGTGCAGGTGAAGGAGTGAGGAAGCAGGTGCTGCTAATCTATCACCAATGGGGCTAGTGGTGAGTAAATTTCTCTAGCGCCTTCTTGGGACTCACTGTTGTTACTGTCGCCTGCCTGAGGGGACCGAGGTCCCTCCCACGTCTCAGTGGGCTCTGACAGGACGATGTCTAAATCTGACACTTTCCACTGGCTGGGAGGCTTCCTGATGCCACTCCTTTCCTCCTCTGCATGGCCACACCACCACGAGGAACAGTAACAAGACCAACCACGACAGCGACAACCACCGAAACCACATCAACACCAACATGAACATCATCACCATTACATCACAGTGGGGATCACAGGACAGTAACAGTCATAACAGCAACCACCACCACAACATGAACGAGTGACAAAACAATAATCACCAATAACATTAACACATCACATTTAAGATAACGTCAACAACGACAGATAAGGGAAGAGGAGAAAGAGGAGCCAACAGACAGGAAAAGGAAACAGACAGCACGTTAGAGACAGAGATATAAGATAACAGATATAAGAGAGTCTGAAATAAACGGAGGCAAACAAAGTCTTGTACAGTGCTTTAGAATAATAAAGAAAGCTAAATCTGCCAACCTGAGAGGGAGCGGATGTGGCTGAGCGGGGTGGGTTTGGACGGTGGGTCAGCGGGCAGGGGGTACCCTGCCTCCTGTCTCCCCTCCGCTGGAACCTGGATGTAGGGGCAAACAGCAGCTACCCGCCCTGAAACCCCACCGCCTGGGTGGGAAGAGGACTGAGGGGAGGACAGGCCTCCTCCATTCATACGACTCAACTGAGATGGTGCAAAGATAGACAAAAAGAATTAGACCTACAGTAACTGCCAAGCTAACTTTAAACCAGCCATCAAGAGAAATGAAATGCAGATAATGTGTGTTTCCATTAGATGATTAGTTGTGTACTTCTGCTCTCTTCTTATGCAGTCGTTCTCTCAGGTCTCCGATGCGTTGGTCCATCACTGTCACCTGGGCGTTCCTCTTGTTCAGCAGCTCCTTATTCTGGGCCAACTTGCTGCTCTGCTCCAGGTTGTGACGGTTACGAGCCTGAAATGCACAGCATTAGATTTGTTATACACTCTGTTCTGTGAGAACGATCTCTGTTTTCTACTTCTGAAAGTAAGAGATTATGAGATGGTGTATTTTACCTGCAGCTCCTGGTAGAGTTTCCTCAGCTCCAGGGCTGCAGGACCAGACAAGGGGGATCCTTTCTGGCCAGTGGGTGCCCCCTGGGACCCGGTGGGTGGCCCCTGCGCTGGTGCAACAGAGTGCATCTGAAGTCGTCCTCTCCTCAAATCCTCCAACTGCTGGGTCAACTGTTAAAACCATTTCGAAAGAATGTGACGTCTTAGCTGACTCGGTTCTGCTTGATTTTGACCTCAGTGACAAACAACCCTCCACATTACCTGGTCAACTCTGACCACAGCAGACTGCAGCTCGGCCTGCTTCTCCTGAAACAGGCTGCTGACATGGTCGATCTCTGCAGCTGGACACAGACACCAGGAGAGGGTGGAGAAATACAAGCCAGTCAGTTAATGTTTGCATGCCTGCACACTTCTATGTACCTTTATGTAGTCTATACCCCATATCATAATTTACTGTCTTCTCACTTCTGCTTTTTTGGAAATGACACAGTGACCATGACATTTAAGCTGAGTGTATTCTCAGCTGAATTTGTGCACAGGCTTCCCTCCTGAATGCTGCAGCAGCAAGACTATTACACTCTTGTAGTATGAGTCAGTAGTGATAAACTGCAGTGCCTGTAATCCAGAGACATAATCTCTGCAGTGTGTTTCAGCTCACAGAGGTTTCCGTTGATCAGTTTGCTGTAGTCGACTTGTCCTCTCATGGCTCGGATCTTCTTCAGCTTGGCTTCCTGAGTCTCCACTCGCTCCTTCAGACGCTGCAGCTTCTCAGCTTCAGACTGAACAAGAGAGAAGAAGAAAAGACACAAGCTTAATGTCCATTAGACTTTTCATTTCATTTTTAATCAGCTTTTAACGTGACAACAATATAAATAATTGTGTTTAATTAACTTGAGTTGATTAATAGGCTGTATTGTAAAGTCCCCTTGCTATAACAAACTTAGAAACACTCCCTTTACAGACGGCAGTTAATGAACAAGCAATACGGTACATATGTAGGATGAAGCGTTTCAACCTCAAAGACTAACCTTGCTCTGTATCTAAGTGACTAATAGTAACAACATTTTTTTTATATTGGTCTAGTCTAAAGTTAAAGTGTTGCAGCACTGCGTCCATGTTTGCTGGTAGGTTTGAAGACAGTGTTTTAGGGGCTGTGTGTGGTTAAACACAAAGGATTTTATTGTTTAGCAAAAGGTCTATCTCTGTAGGGATCCTTTCCATGTTGTCAGAAACTTAGAATAACAATCTGAGCCTGTCAGTGGCAAAACAAACACAAGTGGCAGGATAAATGTGCCCTGAGTGGTTACATTGCAGCCTGCTGGCTGCAGCAGTCTTGCTTAATATTGGATCAATTTTTAAAACTGTTGTTTCTATTAGTCAGTTAGACACAAAAAGAAGATAGGGTCCAGGTTGAAAAATGCAGAACTTATCCTGCCCTGGTGCCTTAAAGAACATTTTTTTTAAGACTGATAGAAGACAGACAGACATATGGAGCCCACCTGTGTCTGTCCTTGGTTAGATCTGCCTCCCTGGTGAAGGTACCTCAGTCTCTGCTCCTGGAAAATACAAAAGGTAAGGGCACGTTTGAGATTTTTTCCTTTTTCTTTCATGAAGCACTTTATTTTTGTGGATTTGTTCGTCGCCATTACTCAAAATGGACGAGGTCATGTTCTTCTGCAAATCGTGAGTCTTCTCAACTACTAACTAAAGTGATGGAGTTAGACATGAACACAAACATTTTTGAAGTTAGAAGCATTTTGATTTCACATGAAAAATATCAGTTTCTTTGGGCCTTACTTCTCTCACTGTTTTGAAGTGTCAGTTTGCAAGCACAGGAGGGGGAATTGATTTATTGATCCAAGTATGTCTGACTTCGCTATGATAGGTCCGATATGCCCCCTTTCAGCTTGTTAGTATTGGGCCTTTTCCTGGTTGACCTATTTCATCACTTGGTTAGCTACAGTTAGCTGGTGGCACACTGGTACCATGTTGGACAACTTTACAGCTCTGTACATTTCACACGTCCAAATGTAAACCATTCCTGATGTAGATATCACCGTGTTGTTAATGGCTTCTTCTTCTGTTATGCATTTAAAGCTATTCTTCTCCTGAGTCAAAGCCTGGGGTGGAACATGTGCAGAGTGCCTAGGCCAGTTTAGTTCAGACTGACTGTATACACGCAGGAGTAGTTCAGCTCCCAGTTGCATAATCTAGGTGTGTTAGTCCGATTTTGAGAAATTCGATTTGGTACGATTCCAGTCAGACTTACATGTTTACATGTATTTTAACAGTCTGGTTCTAGTCGGACAATCCCAATAAACTGATTTTCTCTAATGTCATGTAAACGTACTGACTGCAAAAGTCACTTGTACCAGCACTGTGATCACCTTGCCACTATTTCACCACATCAAGTAAAATATCTGAAATATAATAATATTTAATAATGTATTGATTTTCATTTATTTTGGAAACACACATTATAAAGCAAATAGCCTACAAAGGAGGAACAGACATACAGACATACAGACAGACAGACAGAGAGGGGGGCCTGTGTGATGCTGACTGAGGCAGTTTACACCTCTCTCTGTATCGTGCTGGCACGTAGTACAGCTGACCTGTGTGTCTCTATCAACACACACAGGCACACACACACACACACACACACACACACACACACACACACACACACGTAGAAAGACGGAAATGGAATGTTGGCTAGGAGCCTCCCATCATTCACTTGAAACACACACACTAATAACACATTACATAACAGTAGCTTGTTTTATTACATAGGCAGTGTAGACATGCGGGAGGTGCCTGTACAGTAGCTGTGTTTTGGACTCTTTCTTCCTGGAAGTCGTCAATCAATTCTTCGAATGTTACGAGGATAGTAACTGCCTCTCCATTTCCAGCTGGGAGACCTTTTCATTCGGCAAGACAAGGAAATACTTGAACACTTACACACTGGAAGGAAACACTCCGTGGCTGTCATTTAGCAGGGAAATTACTGCTTTTAAAAATGCTGAATACCAGCAGAACGCTGCCAAATCAAAACATCAGTGCTACAGTTGGCCTTGAAAAACCCCAAATTGGCCTAATCAAAGTTGGTGGTTAAAAATATTCCCTGCTGAAAGCATTTTATTCAATTTAGACAAAGTAGACACTTCATCAAATGAAAGGAGAGATTTAAACAAATTAGGAGAATCTGATTTTTTTTTTTTTGGCTCGTCCTTCTGTGTCTTTCCTGGAGTACCATTCTGCTTCAACTTCCCAGCAGCTCCCTGCTGACCTCATTTCCTGCTGTCTCAAAGGTCACTTCCTAGTATGGGAATGGCCATGATCTGTGTCTCACACACGCAAAGTTGTCACACACACAACCTGGAGCTGAATGGTTTTCTATTGGCTCAGATGGAGTTGTTCTTTCCTGCCAGTCCTTAAACCCTGACCTGAATCACATGTCCTGTTTCCAAGCAAGACGTATGAGCCGAGATCCTCACACACACACACACACACACACACACACGCACACGTACACACAAAAATCCAAGGCCGTAGCTCCTGGAGCCTCAAAGCCGACCTTTTCAGACAGACTCTAATGTAGATAACCTTACACTAACTGACAGGCAATCCATCCAACAGCAATCCATCCAACAGCACACGTGTGCGTGCATGTACGAGTTACCTTGGCGACCAACATCTGTTGCTGAGCCTCTATTTGTTGCTGTTGTCTCGTGGCCATTTCCTGCAGCTCGGAGAGGGTCAGCTCCACACGGGGAACCTGCACACGACAACACACATATATGAATACTCAATGTCCCGAGAAAAAAAGCTTGTGTTTTCTCCTGTGTGTCTCTAATCATTGTTTCCATACGTTCAGGACTGTTACTGACAAGATGAAAACCTAAACAGTGACAGGAGATAAATGCCAGACTACAGCTGCACACACATATCACCTCACACTTCAGGTCATAGAGCACCTTCAGTGTGTGCAGAAATGTTATTAGGCTAGCAGCTAGTGGCCTTGGCAGAGTGACAGAATTATAGTATTGGTTTGGGAGAAAATAGCCAGAATCCTGTCTGCTCTGGTTATCACACTGTGACACAGACATCAACATCAGCTTGAAAAAAATCTCATCACACTGATCATTCGTCCTGTATTTTACTATCAGTGTTTTATCAAGCCAGGCCCACACTGAGACACTTTGTTACACAGCTGTGTTTTTGGATGTTCTTCAGAACAAACATTTCTATGATTGTAGGCTAATGTGTGTTTCAGTTTAAGGGGGTTGGTTGTGGTGGGGAGGGAGAGGAATGCCTTTAGCAGACAACAGCGGAAGGTTTCTGCCCAGTCACATCCTGCTATTGTGTGTGTTCACTCACGGACACACACATAGACACAAATACACACACTACACCTGGTCTGTTACAGTCATTTTCTGTATGAATTGAGGCCAGACAATGTGACACTAAGTGACAAAAGCGACTTTCCTCCTGGTTAACAATGAAGACAATAGTTCATATTTTTTTAAGGTTGAATCTTGGGGGCCCTCTTCCCAGGAAAAAATTCAAATTTCAAAATTAATTTCCTGCTACATTATCTTATTTATCATAAGCAAGAAGAGCCATACAGTATGCTATATGGAGACTGTCCTCCTCCAAAATATGACCACTTACATATTCTTTTACAAGCATAGATTCATTTTCTGCAACTGCTTATCCTTCTGGGGGTCGCAAGGGGGCTGGAGCCTATCCCAGCTGACATTGGGCGAGGGCAGGGTACACCCTAGACAGGTTACCAGACAATCACAGGGCTAACACACAGAGACAGACAACCATTCACACTCACATTCACACCTACAGGAAATTTGGAGTCACCAGTTAAACTGCATGTCTCTGGACTGTGGGAGGAAGCCGGAGTGCCTGGAAAAAACCCACGCTGACACTGGGAGAACATGCAAACTCCACACAGAAAGGCTCACCCACCCCAGGGTTCGAACCAGTAACCCCCTTGCTGTGAGGTGACATTGCTAACCACTGTACCACCGCGCTGGTACACTATCTCACACTTTCTATTACATAACCTTATTTATCATGAGCAAGTACAGCTATACAGTTTAATATACGGAGACTGTCCTCCTTGAAACCACAACCACATAGATCACTTTTACAAGCATAAATTACAACCCATATTTACATTTTGTTGTTAGGTGGCAACTGAAGAAATAATGATGCTAGAGGAGGAACTCAGGTTACAGAGTATGAAGAGGGAGAAAGTCTGCTTAGGGTGGTGGGAGGTGAAAAGGTCACATAGTCACTGGACTTTCATCCAGGAGACCTGTGTTTGTGTCCTGAGTGAAAGCAAAGTCAGCACTGAGTTATTTTAAGAAGAAAACTTAGTATGTTGATACATGCCACCTGAACTATGTCAGATGAGTGATTTCAAGTGACATATGTGACGTGTGTCACATGATATATGTTACTATATCTAAGCAACAAACATACTTATTTTAAGCCAAACTGTGATCATAGTTTTGTGTTCCTAAGAACAAACAACCTATGTGGTTGTATGAGTTGGACTTGTTGACTATATGAATATGCAATAAATGAAAGCTATTAATGTCTACATAAATTACACCTGCAATGCAACACAAATGACTGACACTCAACTCAGACTTCAAGTGGACTACCTGACAAATATGTCACAATAAAGACATTAATGTTGATTGAATATGCTTGTGAGCTGTGTTCTGCTGGGATGTGGCAACACCACTAGGACCGATAGTGATAATAATGTTTAGTTTATGATAATGGTTACATTTTCTAATGATTATTTCAGCACTGGCTGCTTGTCCTAGCATAGCAATTTCTTAAATATATTTTTCAATCAATGTATTGGTGGGTGTCCCTTCAATACATATGATAATACATATAATAATTATTGCCTTAAAAAGGTATTTAATCGATTATCCAAACACTGGCTGTTTCTACCTGTTCAATGGAAACAGCTTCTTTCCAGGACTGTGACTACATACTTACAACCAGTTAGGTAGTATATTTTTTTTCTTTGTTAACATTGGCCTTTATTGAGAGTACAGCTGAAGATGGATAGGAAAGGTGTGAAAGAGTGAGGGGGAATGACATGCAGCAAAGGGCCGCTTGATGGAGTTGAACCCACGCTGCTGCAAAGGACTTGGCCTATGTGGGCGTACACTCTATCAAGAAAGCTAAAAGTTGACCTAACTTATATGTAATTTAATGACAAAATAAATGTAATTGTAATCAGTTATTATTACTGAGAGTACATATAATCAAATTACAGTTTGTATTCAAAGTGTTGATGATCACAAGGGGTCACATGTGAATATATTCTTGTCTTTAAAAATTTTATATGTAGAATAAAATATTTGTTCTGTTGCTTTGCACCTTTTTGCCGTGCCCAGTTAAAATACTTATGAGAAAACTTATAAAAAAGTAATCAAATATAATAGGTTACATTGTTTTTATGAGGTAATTAAAATAGCTGCATTACTAATTACATTTTTAACTGTAACCTATTACATTTCAAAGGCACTTACCTATCACTGGTTACAACATCTTAAAACATGTGGTATAACCTCTGCAACGCCATACAGCTCTGCACTGCATCACGTACAGCTTTAATGTGGAGTAGAATACAACACTATCATGGAATATCAAGTCTTGCCCTACAAAGCAGGTCTTTAACCATCAGCAAAAATGTCTGAATGGCTCAATATGATGTAACATTATCAGTGTAGCTAATTGCATAATATATTAATTCATTACATTCCAGGTCCTCTTAACAATGCAAGAGACCAAAGCTGCAAAAATGTAGTTTGTACCTGGATTAAGACCTAGCCACTACCACACCACCTAATGGCCTCAGACAGGCTGACGGTTTCCAGAGTGGCACTGATTAATGGATTCCACCTAGAGTAAAAGGATCTGCTATTTTATGAGTCATTAGGAGACTAATGATTATGGTTATCATGCATATTTTATAGAAAAGTCACACAGAGTACAAAGTGTTGTTAAGACAATGTCACTGTCTTACTGCAAAAGCTTTCATAATAATGTTTTTAACCATTAAAGCAATATTAATAAATAAAAATATGGGGATCAAAATGCCCAGCAGCAATGGTATAATGTTTAGATGTATATTAAAACATGTGTTTAGCTGTCAGACAATGCCAAACCAAACAGTCAGACATATAAAGCCAGTAGTTCATTAACTGTAGTTTCTGATGTTGTATCAGATTATCCTCGCTGTAGGGTGCTTGACATATTAGTGTGCCTTTGTGAGGGTTTGGTAATGGTACTATCCAGCCCTAATGAGTAACTTGAGGGTATCAACTGAAACAAACCAGCACCAAGTAGTATCTACCCAGATTGGGATACAACATGGTTTTACTCACAGCCAATGACAGCAAGCATTCTTCATTTCAATGCAACATGGCCCACTCCTGCACAACCCATACAGATTATGATGTGGTCAAGTTGAGCATGGTGTAGTTGAGTTGGCAGTTCAGTGTGGCGAAATGCCAACAATATGTTCCAAAATATGGTTATAGACGCATGTGGTGTCTGATGCCATTTTACACAATGGAATGCCTCAATTTACTTGATGGTTATCAAATTAAGTGGAAAACAAAAGATATCAAATGAAGAACTCTACTGGTATCGGTATCATTTGTAGGGTATTAGTATTGGTACTGCATTAGTACTACCCAGCTTTAGCATTCATAAATAAGGACAAAAAACAACATATGAAACAGTTTTCATAAAACTGTAGTCCAACATATAATCAGCACAGAGTACATAATCAAAACGTACAATATGTTGGGTCAAAATATAACAGTCTCAACAAGCACATTTTGAGGAAGAATGAATTGCAGGGCTAGAATTTAGATATAATGTGGTTGAGTGTAAGAATGTAATAGAAACAGGAGTGGGCCTAAAATGAAACCTTGAGGAACCCCATTAACAGATTATAAAGCAACAAGTTTAAAGCAAGATAAATGAGCACAACCAATGTCAGTTAATTCAAATAGTCTGTGGTGTAAAACTAAGAGATATAGTGTTGAAGGGTCAGATCCCCCTGATTAACAGAAAAAATTAAACCATTTTTAATTTGCATTCGTTTTAAGATGCATGCCACAGTCCTCTGTCACCCTGCTAATACATTCTAAGGTGGTATGTGATGCATTGGAAAACACAAAACTTCTTACACTAAAAACAGTGTTCCAGTTACACTGAACAAGACTTGATTGTTGCCAGAATTCTTTATTTTGTATTAAAGGTAAAATTCTCCAAATGTTTTTTTTTTATTTCTTTTATTTTGTGTGAACTGACCCTTAAAACAGAACTTCTATTAAATAAATCTTAAACTTGGTTAGTTACCTCAGCCGTCTGTGTTGAGCGATGCACTGAAGCATCATTTAAAGGGGAAGTTGGAGATAATTATAGAGAACTGTAATTACTGGGATTTAAGGGGTCTAGATCTTAAGGTTTAAGGGCTTAAACAACATTGCATAGACTTTACTCAAAACTCAATTTCTGCCAGAGATGAAAGAGAGATGGTCTCAAAGGGGCTGGAGGCTTCAGTCAATTCTGTAAAATGTTCAAAAGTCTTCACATATTTCAGCAAAGACTTCATGCCATGACTCAGGGAGGAGCTGATGAAAAACTCCATTACCCTGAACTGAGACCGAAGTGTTGTGGCAATTCTTAGATATGAAATCAGTGAAACAAATTAAACCTACTGGCCATTTAACGACTCAGGGAGTGGAAGCTCTAACCCTGGCAGCATTAGCGCTTTGCTAAATATCGGTATCAGTGATTAATGACACTGATAGCCACACAGTGCTGCAGACAGCATCACCGCCTTCAGGCTGACTTATTCATTTCTTAAAAACATAATGCAGACATGCAGTATCCCGACGTAGTGCAGACTACATCATGTTTTAGACGATGACATTATGCACATTACACTGGTTTTCCAGTCAGCGATGCCACATGTCATAAGCTAACTGCTGACCTGTGGGATTTTGCAGATTCTCACTTTCACGTGCATTATGAAGAGTCTGCAGATACAAACTGATCTCCTGCTAATGCACTGTGGTTTCACCTTAAAGGAGACCAGGCAGTGCCAGTATGAGAGGAACATCACTGTTTCCAAATGTAATCTCTGTAAGCAGTGATGCAGTGGTTAATAGACGGATTGAGCTATGTGAACTCTCTATAATCATACATCTTATTTCTCTTTGATAAAATCATTTTTGAATGTGCTTGTATGGAAGCAAAGAAAGGCCAAATGTGAAAATAAATCACTGCAGAATACTTAATGTTGACAATCTTAATTGAATTCATAGCATTGAAATATTTTACTATTATAATCAAAATGTGAATTCTTGTAGTCTGAATTCCACCATTAATTTGAAGCAATTTGAAATTCTGCAATTTCAGAACCTTTCAAATTCAAATAGAAGATTGAAGTGTGCAAGTTTCATGTGCATTCATCTGAACCTCTCCTTCTTTCATCACGACTGATAGAACCTGATAGGACAGATGCCTTACTGCTCTTCGATACCTCCTTATATTGTTTATTTTGCAATAGAGTTTAGTCACACATTACAAGATTCTACAAAGACTTTCACTGTTTGCAAGATTACAACTAGATTCCTTTTGGGATTATTTCCCATCCTGCTCCTGGTGGGAAATATTAGGCCAAACTCCCTTTAAGGAATGTGACAAATTAAGAATTTATTGTAGAAACATAAGATAAAAGTTGGAAATTGTCGACAGTATTCTTGTGAATTCAATATCAATATGATCCATAATGATAAACTGAATTTGTGTACAAATTTAACTATTGGGATTTTGTTGCCTCAACTCGCTGCCAGCCTCCGTTGGTTAGCTGTGCTATTTTAGTGAGAGAAGAGGCCGTGGGAGTGAGAAGGGAACTGTTACAAAAAATTAAGATTTCTCACTAGAAGAAGTGCCAGTTTGTGGATCCGATACACGCCAAATTAAATACACACTCTTGTTCAATCTACAGCTCCACCAGTTTCTCCTCTTTTTCCACAGTCCCCTTTACTGTCCACCCAGTTTGCTGCTTCCTGTTTGGAGCTGCAGAGAGCACAGCTATTGGTTGCTGACAATGTTCACATCATTGAACTGCAGTATTTGCATGATCCAAGAACCAAATACGATAATATTAAGCATGTTTGATTTTGTCTGAACGTCAAGATGAGAAAAACACTGACTTAAGACAGCTCGGACTGATTTTTATGACCACCTATACACCAAAAGATCGCGATCACAGAGGCGCGCACCAACTTAAGTTAAACTCATGATTTTATACTGAAAATTGTGTGCGACAAGGAATTTGTTTCTTAATATTGTTTGGTGTAAAGCCAGCATTAGTTGCACAGCTCGAAATTATTGTCTGAAAAAAAAAAGGGAATTCAAACCCCATGAATTTAGAAAGATGGCTCTCAAAATTAAGTATTTCAAAGCTATGAATTCAGTGGTATTTACATACAACACCAAGTACTGAATAGGAACTAAATGTCACATCTAGGTATTACATGCAAGATTAAAATCCTTATGCCCCTTTTGCTTCTTAATTAACTTCAAAACATGAGTAAACAGAAATCCCTGATACTTGGAGTTTTCAGAACTATATTTTAAAGTTTGGTCATCAACCTCAAAAGCTAACATTGTAGAGATATGTGGATACATAATGCAACAGTGTTTGCATTGTTAACACCCTCAACACCCAAGAGTTGCTGGATTTAAAAGCCTCAATCTGACAGACTGTCATCAGTTGGACTAAAGATCACTTGTCAGTTAAAACAGTGGCCGGCAGTGTGACATTTGTGTTCTGTTGATGAAGTTTCTATCCTCTAGCCAGTGCTGTGTCTTCCTTTTCTGTCTCATGATGACATGCATCCCCCAGCTACAGAAAAAGTTACCAATTCTCCCGACTTAACAACGGTGTCATGCATTCTGCTGCTCATGCTGTCAACACACTGTACGTCATCCTGCAGACTGCGCTGCTGCGAGCGCCCCGGCTGACATTAACATGCAGTTTCTATCAGCTCCCCGCTGTGCCGTATTTACCTGCAGGCTGTCCCATGTGATCCTGCAGGAGCGGACTTTAATTTTGCTGCATTGTCCTTCAACAGTAAATTCCTGCACCAGATCCACCTCATTCCACTCCATCCTCACAGCGTTTCAGGGGAAACAGCGGACCTGACTGGTTTTAGATGTTGCCAGAGGCTTGACAGAGGGAAGCTTGGAGGGGGGGGGGAAACGAGAGCGATCCTTATCACAACTTTCCCTCTCGTCCGCCCGGTGATGTGCTGTGATTTACGACACTCTCTCCCCCTCTCCCTCTCTCTCTCTCTCCCTCTCGCTCGGCCCACGCTCCCTCCACCTCTCTCTCTCAGACAAACTCTCTCCAGCATTGGTGTGTTCTCATATGACGTGTGAAGCCCATTAATGTGACATTGCATTCAATTACTACAGTAAACAAACATGTAAAGCAATAAGCCGGTGCAAAAAGACGGAGGGGAAGTCACCCCATCCCTTTTTTCTACCTCTCTCTTTCTCTCCATCCTTCCATCTTTCTCTATCTCCACTCTTCTACAGCTCCTTCTCTTCTCACATCTCCCATCATCTCTGTCTTTATCTCCCTCCACCCTTCCTTCTTCCACACCTTCCTCCATCCTTCTTAATCCCCTTATCTTTCTATATCTGCATTCCTTCATCTCTCGTTCTCTCTGTTCTTGTCATCCATCTGCAGCTGGCTTTTTGCTGCAGCGACATCCCCCTCTCTCTGTCTCTCTCTCTCTCTCTCTCTCTCTCTCTCTCTCTCTCTCCCCCTCACACCTCCCTCTTTTCTTCTCCCACTTTCTCTCAGAAGGGAAATCACTGCACCACAGCCTGATGGGGTTCTAGCTGCTCTCAATCAACCTCTGCGTCCTGCTCCAGATGTGTGTTATTATGAGAGAGAAAACCATGATGATGATGATGATGATGATGTGGGGAGATTAACGGCCGGGGCAGCGTGCACGGCGATCTCGTGGCACACATCCCCACCGGACAGCGTCGGACACACACGTGCGCATGACATGTATGCGCACACAAACAGACACACACTCAAATAACAGCTGACGCCTGCTGCGTCATATTGTCCTCCTCTTTTTCTCTGTCTCGCTCTCTGAAACACACACACACACACACACACACACATACACACACACACACACACACGGCGACATGTGAGTTAACTGCTGCGTCACACATTTTCTCTTTCACTCTGAAACAGACACACATCTGTCTGACTCAGATAAACACACACACACACACACACACACACACACACACACATCCAGTAATGAAAGCAGACTGGAATTTTTGCCAGTGCTGCTGTTCTGGCTGCAGGAATCTGTGGGTGTGAGCTGGCTTTGTGTGTGTTGGCTGGACATTTGCAAACATAGCATGTAGGACAATTCAAAGTACCTCACTGTGTTTTATAATTAGATATTAAACATATTATCAGTAGTATTGAAACTGGTTGACTTTTATTTATATTCGGTAGACTGTTCAGGATGAAACTGATATGTCTGAACTGTTCAACTTTTCAAGTTCCCCTAAGAATAAGACTCTCTTTTCTTTCAGGTGCTTAAAACCAGCGTTCAAACCAAAGACATTAAAATTCATTAAAACTATTGATAGCCCTGGCTTTGAAATTATCCTGGAAAAGTTGGCAGATCATGAAAAGAAAAAAGAAACAGTCACATTGTGATGAGGTATGACTTTGCACATATTCCTAATTAGACTGTATGGATATGTTTGGGGGTGGGGCAAAATTAATTCTTAGATGTACAACGATGCTCTCTTGAAAGACTTTATGTCTCCATGCAGAAAAGTCAATAATCAGACATTTAGAATGTAATTCTCAGCATTATGATTTCCAGTAACAATTTTATAAGACCAGACTGTACATTCCTCTGAACCCATTGGATGGTGTAATGGAGGTAAACATGTGCAGACGTTAGACAGTGTGGGGGAGTTTTTCTACAAGTTGTGTTTTGCTCGTCCCTCTCCTACGCACCTGTTGGGAAATAGATGTGCACTTTATTCCTTTGTTCACTATTGTCTTAATAACAGATAATGGAGGTAAATTATTTAGAAAAACAAAGAAGGAAAACATAAATCATGTGTGGGAATCAACCATTTGAAGCATCAAGGCAGCAATAATTGTTTTACAGTTTCTCTAGGGTGTTGCTATTGCAACAATTAATGCAAAATCAGCTAGGGATGCACAGATTTATCAGTTGAACATCTGTATTGGCCAACATTCACCTTGCTGACTGCCATTGGCCTATCAGCAAAAAAGATGACACTCACCGATGGCAGTGGCCAATGTTGTCACATTAAATTTGCGCAGGCTAAAAAGCAGGGCTCCAGAATATCGGCCACAAAGGTAAATAAATGAGCACATACAAGAACAATACAGTGACTGTTTGGCAAATGGGCTCTGTGATCCCACTGTTGTTTGAAGAAAAGCTGCTAACAAAGTTCCACTAATTCAGTGATAAATACATTTCACTTCCCATAAATTCTTCAGAATAAAAGTCCCCCGTACATACGTTTATTGTGAAGCAGGAAAATGAGGAAATGTTGAGTTTTCATGCAACAACTTCACACAACTTCAAATCTGGCTGACAGCGAACATGAAACAATAAAGCAGATATCTAAAGTAAAAACAGGATGCAGGAGAGAAACTAAATTCCAAACCACAGAGATTCAGTTAGAAGCTACACAAGTACTGAGAGCTGAACACACAGAAAAATGAATTTCTCTCTGGTCTCCTGCAGACAGAGGGAAGGAGAGTCTCACAACACACAGGCTTGTTTGAGGGGGAGAAACGGGTCGTTGAGGGGTTGGCTGCTGTTGGCCATACACCACTGCTACCTGCTTGAGGGCAGGCGGCCCAGCTTTTGGACCTACTGTGAAGAAGGTCCATCTCGACATAGCACGGCGCATCAAAATTGATAACGGAACGCAAATTGCCGTGGCATGGCTTGACTTGACTATCCCTTACACAGCCAAAAGTGACAATGGAAAAGGCCCAAAGCAGAGTTCAAATGCACACACTTGCTAATGTGCCCTACTCATATGCGAAAGTGTTTCACATGATGTTTTTTGCAAAAATGCTGCAATTCATCAAAATTTTTCTCAGTTTTTGACTCAACGTTCATTGTTGAGGCATGCGCAAAAAACAAAGTGTTCTTAATGAATTCAACGTAATACGGGTGAGTAATTCATTTACAAATGGTTATTTTGAGGGTGAAGTATTCCTTTAAGAGTGGACTGGAGCAGAGTAAAAACAAACTATGATGTGTGGTGTTACTGAGAGGACATGCCATACACGTAAAACAGCTTGACAACAGCTTGATAATGGTGTCAGTCCTTATTTTGTTATTGAATGCTATTCTCTGCTGCTGTATTGGTGTCAATAGATTTTCAAATCATTTCCAGCCATTTTGCTATAATTGCACAACAGCACTGTGAAAACTGATAGTCATGTGCTAACAAGCAATCATTCAAAACTACTACATTGTAATAGTCACCACAACCATCTCATGCTGCTGCTGATCTCTGCTCCGTTCTACAATTTCGCATATGTTTCCATCACGGTTATAATCTGAAGCACATGGGGATATTTGACCTTCTCAGTGTGTGAGTATTAGATTTCCCAACAGTGTGTACGTTCTCAGAGTTATGCACACACATACTAGACACACACAGACAAACACAGACAGGTTGTTCTGATCATACCTCCCTTCAGTAATGAAACCCATCTCCTTCCCATCTGCTGTACGCCTCCAGTAAAAATATTCCTCCTAATCTACAATAACAGCCTGCAGACATTCCTGCAGCCCCTTCCCAACCAGAGGGGAAAACTCTGTTATCAGAACCACTCCAGTGACTAACGTTCACACAGCAGGGTGGCCTGCTGGTTACAGAGATCATCATGTAACTAAGAGGTCACTTCTTTGAACTTCACCTCTGACAGCTTGTCCATCAATAGCGCATGTTCTGTTCTGACAGTGTTCATAAGCAAAGCAGGGGAGACCTTAAGCCCAATTTAGGAACAAAACCAAGCCAACTAGCTGGATTTAAGGAATACTCACTTCTTTCAAGATCTGGTGCAATACAAGACCACCCAGATTTCATCCAAACTGGGACTTCCCTACAGCTACAACATATGATATTCAGACTTTTGAAAATGGAGAACCACTTTCAAAACCTCTTAATATATCCTCCATTTCCACAAAGTTTCTAAAAGCTTATTGTCAAGATTCAACAATAAATGCCTTAAAATGTGAAATATGAGTTCAAACCTAACAAATCTATGTTTTAAATTTTATGCTGAGTAACATAAATGACATTTATTGTAGTCAAACTTTTCTCACAGTATCAGCACAATGAACTTTGGCCACATCGTGTGATTCAAGTCTGCCGACGTCCCTGAACCCAGACTATCACGTAACCTACAGAAGGCATCTGTAGTGACGACATACATTGAAAATATTCATCTTAATCTACATCAACACAACCCCTGACATGTGTGTTTTGTCAAGAGCACACACACAAAGACATACCTGACTTCTTAATATATCCCTCAGCGGTTTTCTCACACACAGCTGGGTGGGGTCGAGTTACAGTTGGATCAAGAGACTTGACTGAGTGTGTGTGTGTGCATGTGTTAACCAAAAATGTGTGACCATCTCTGCAGTTTTTCTGAGGTTAGGGGTGAGGTTTAAGTAGTGGTCTTCCATTACAGGTCGCCTCTGAGGGCCAGTGTCTCCTGATTGGTTGGTTATTCTGGTTTATCAGACTATATTCCAACACTCTCTTTTATAGGTGAACATGGAACTAGCATTGCCACTTTGTGAGTGTAAGCCTCTATGAACCAATCAAACTGCAGTTACAGTTTACATCCATGACTGTCAAGACTCTGATGTAGCCATGACAGTTGAAAATGCATCAAAGAGGCTAGATGTTGCTACAAAGAATCCACATATTCTAAAATGTGGGTGCTTCAAACACATCTTCAGCCCAGCAGCACAGATCTATACAATCAGCACAGTTTCAAGGTGGACTCACAAGATTAGTGTCAACAAATCAGTATCTGACCAAATGTCTTCCCTTCTATACCTGAGAGATGTTGAATAATAGGCAGAAAAGTGTTTTGTGCTGTCACAGTGATGTTGACCTTTTGGATATAAAATCTCTTCACTTCATAATTTTATCCTATTCACATTAATGTGTAATTTTGTCATAATTAGCTTGTGAATTCTTGAGTTCTGACAACACGTTTTGTAAGGTCACAGCGACCTTGACCTTTGACCTATGACCAACAAACCTAATCAGTTTATTTCTAAGTCCATGGGAACATTGGTGCCAAACATGAAGAAATTTCCTCACGGTGTTCTTAAGATATAATGTTGACAACAATGAGACAGACAAGGTCACAGTGACCTTGACCTTTGGCCTGTGGCCACTAAAACCTAATAAGTTCACCCTTCAGTCCGACTGGACATTAATGCCAATTTTTTTTAAAAAAATTGCTCATGGTGTTCTTGAGATATCATGTGCACAACAATGAGACAAACAAGGTCACAGTGACCTTGACCTTTGTCCTTTGGCTACCAAAATCTAATAAGTTTGTCCTTCAGTCTAACTGGACATTTGTGCCAAATTTGAAGAAATTCCCTCAAGGTGTTCTTGAGTTATCGTTTTCACGAGAATGAGACAGATGGGCAACCTGAAAACATCCTGTCTCAGCCACTGCTATTGCTGGTGTGGAGGCATAAAAATCTGTTTAAATTGAAAGGGAAAGTCAGAAAGTGATTTATTTCTGATGGAGTTCCCAATACATGATCGTCCTGCTGTTAG